TCGCCTGTTTGTTCGGTACGTGGGTCCACCTGTTCTTGAACAAGTGTCCCGTAGCGTCGAAGATTCGAGACAGGCGAGAGTATCGGGTTCCCGAAGGGGGCGGAGGGGGAGGGGGTTACTGAGGCTGACAGTGGGAGAGTGGAGGGAGCGAGGGCCAGGCGCCGTGTTCGTGTTTGCAAGTCCCATGCACAGTTAGTTCACTGCTTTTTTCAGAGGTGCTCGATCCAGCATGTACTGCCAACGCTTGCTCACTCCAGCTGCACGTACAGCTGTAAGTCTTTTTTTTTTTTTTTTGTTTTATTACCTGTATTGTAACCTCTGATTTTCCCATGTGGATGTGACGTTTTATGTCGAAAAAATGTATACAGGAAATTGGCTTTTGGCTTGTCGGTAATTTTATGTATTGCTGTGCACCGAGTATCGCTTGTTTGAAAGAATTCCCTTAGTTCCTTGGCTTTTCACACGTATCTGGAGGATAAGTATGTTAGAAACGATTAGACAGCAGATGTGGATTTCACTGGAATAAAATATAACATCGGGAATGTGATCTTTTTGTCGAGACTTGGCATTTTCAGTTAGAAATGAATATGAGACAACTGCAGTTGCAAGCCTGTGGATTATTGCTGTAGTTGAAAGATTAGAAATGAAAAAGAAAAAAGAATTTTTGGTATAATGAAGTGTAGGAACAGGAAGAGAAGAGAGGAGATTTTAGAGTTAACATCATATTTGGGGTGGGGGAGGGGAATTCGATTGTCATTGATAAGCAACCGTGTAGAACTACAATTCTGCCTATGTTTCATCCCTTAGCTGTAAACACAGGTAGCACTCGGGTGTAGATAGTAGTGGGAATAATTGCTGCAGCTCCTGCCCACATTTTTGCGCCCCTCATCGATTTATATTTCGTTTATTTGGATCATCTAAAATTTGTAATTAGTTTCCCAACTACAATTAACAGTAACTGTGATCAGTGCTGCTGCATCACCTGGTGTTAATCCCACTGATGACGTTTGTTTCCGACTCCTGAAAGGTCTAGTAGTTTAAAAGAAGCATTGAACAAAACTCTAGTTGTTCCGAGATCTCCCTAGTTTGTGTTAAGCTTCTTCATCTTGTCAGGAATGTTGCCGCTTTCGCAGACGATGAGGTAATAATTAGGTTGCAGCTAGTAATTTACCTCAGCTAGGAGCCCTCATTGATATTCGACAAAAAGCACATTAATGGGATTTAGGCAATGAATTTTCTGGTGTGTAATTTATGACAGCTTATTTTCTTGACTCCACGACACGGTGTTTTGTGGATTTGATGTAAAATTTCATTTCGCTTGAACTTACTGGGACATTTTTTGAATCTTTTGTGGTGTTTGGAATGTAACCTCCCGTATGTCTTCACCACAAGTCATTCTGCGAAGTACTAAGGTGTCAGACTGTATTGTTCGGAATTTCACGTCGTAATAATCGCCAGTAATTTGTAGAAATCCTTGCCTTGGTCAAATTCGCGGAAATTCTTGCCCTCAGTCAGTTCAGACTATCAAGCTTACCGTGAGGCTAACAGTAGTTTCCGTTTTGATTGCAGTTGTCTCCGTTACTTCGGTCACGAATTGGCGCCTATGTGCGATGTTTGCAAACGTCAGCGGTGCAGCGTGATATTGATAGTGCGGCGAAGTATGTTGGCGCTGGCGCAGCTACGGTTGGCGTGGCGGGCTCAGGTGCCGGAATTGGCAATGTGTTTGGTTCGCTAGTTATTGGCTATGCTCGTAATCCGTCGGCGAAGAATCAGCTTTTCTCGTACGCCATTCTTGGCTTCGCGCTTTCCGAGGCTATGGGCCTGTTTTGTCTTTGCATGGGTTTCTGTATACTGTTCGCATTTTGAATTGTTTCATTTGCAGTTTCAGAATTCATTAGACTGATTACTTTATTCTTTCATTAGGCGACCTATTGTTTGAACAATTATGTTGAAAACAAGCGAATCACACTGCATGTGCCGTTCTATTCCTATAGTATTAGGCTTGGT